TGAGGGCTGGGGAGGGCAAAATCGAGCAAAAAACAGGCCGTTTTTGCCCCCTCAGCCCCCAGAAACACTCTACAAGCCTTCCAGAGCCTCTGCATGCCCCCCCTTTCTTTGCAAAAAATGAGGCGTGCAGAGGGTTTGGGAGGCGTGCAGAGTGCAAAAACTTTTTTTAAAAAAATTAACCTCTTCAAAATCATGGTGCGTCTTATAGTCCAGTGTGTCTTATACTCTAAAGAATATGGTATATGTCTAAGGGCTATTGCAATTGCTACTTATAACCACTGCAACATCCCTACAGTCACATGGTCAAAATTCAGGTGCTTGGCAGTTCGCATGTATTGATGATAGTTGCAGCATCTCGGGGAGGGGGGGTGTTATGTGATCCCCGTTTGCAACCTTCCCAGCTTGCCAGTTTCCGACAAACAAAAGCCAATGGAGGAAGCCGGATTTTGCTTCTAATGACTGCGATTCCTTCAACTGTAGTGAATTTCTTAACAACCCCGTATTAAAGCTGATCCAATTGGGCAGGACTCGCTTCACAACTGCTTCGCTTAACAACAGCAATGCTGGTCCCAATTGCAATCAGAAATGAAGGACTACCTGCGTTCACCCAGCGCAGCTCACTCTGCCCAACTGCTTCCAACGTTGGTCCTTCTCACTTGGTGGCTGCCTTAATTTTGTGGATGGCGTATGGGCTGGATTCCTTGGGGATCCAAATTTCATCGCCTTCGTGGCTTCTTTGATCAGCTGCCCCTTCCAAGGCCGCCGTCAGTTCCGGCCCAAAGATGTTGGTGTTCCGGCAATTGGAGGTAAGGTGGCTGAAAGAGGATTCAGATGAGCTTTCCTCCCGATTTTCTTCATCTTGGTCGTCCTGTAGCTTGGTTGTCTCCAGCTGCAAGGAGTCCGTCACATCTGCCTTTTTGAAGGGCCCTTTGAGGTCTTGCAAGAAGGTTGCTTTGGGGGCAAAGAAGAGGAGGAGAAACAGCAGCCCTCCAGATACCCCACATAGGAAATAAAAGCCCACCTTCTCCGGAACACCTGCAAAGAGAGAAGATGACGAATATTCAACACATTTGGTCTGAATTCACAAACCTCAACAAGCCATGGTTTGTTCAACCCCTTGTTTACTGAACCCATCACAGTTCCCTGTGCAGTGTTTGTCCAGGTACCACACCTGGAGTACTGCATCCAGTTTTGGTCACCACACTATAAAATATGTTGAGACTCTAGAAAAAGTGCAGAGAAGAGNCCTGCAACCGTTCAGCATAGGTTTTAGCCTCCAGTCCCCTAATCATCCTGGTTGCTCTTCTCTGCCCTTTTTCTAGAATCTCAACGTATTTTTATAGTGTGGTGACCAAAACGGGATGCAATACTCTAGATCTGGTCTTATTAAGGCTTTATAGAGTGGTATTAGTAGCTCACTTGATCTAGATTGTATCCCTCTATTAATGCAATTTAGGATTGCATTGGCTTTGATTAAGGTACCTTAAATTGGCTAACTTACAGAATCCGTCCAAAATCTGGGAAGCATGACTCCCGTGGAGTTAGAACTTGGGAAACTTTATAAAAACCCTTTGCAACATAAAATTATCATAAAACATCTTATGACAGAATGCCAAACACCATGGAAGAATTCCTGGGGTCAACTGTTGACGTTTGACTGTTGCTGCACAGTTCAACATGTGATACTTTCAACATGTGATACGCCTCTAAATAATCTGCCTGCATTTCGAAGAACTTCTCAAGCACGTTAGAAGCTGTGCCATGGTTGAAGGCAGGGAGGAATCTGGTAATCGATGACCTGAGGAGGTCAAAGATTCTGTTTCGTGTAGGATGAAAATCTCATGTCACGCCTCGCACTCCTGTACAGCCCAGAAGGATCGCACGTACCCCAAATATGGGCTATTGTTTCCAGAGAGTTAGTAAATATCATCAGATTTTCTTGGAACTGCTTGGACAGCCTCGGCCCGGTGTACCAGCCACCTGTAGCAAACAAGGGGACAGGGTGGTCTTACTAAGGATGTCTCCAGTAGCAAGAGAGCAAAGTTCTTGTTCTTAGTCTAGATTTGCTTAAGGGACAAGCATAAACTCACCAGCTCATGCATCTTTTGAAGGCCCCACCTTCCAGATAGGGGATGGGTGACTTTTTGACAACCAAAACCTACGCCTTCCTCTGTGCCAGTAGTTTCGATGGCCAAGCACTCTGGAAGGATCAGGAATAACATCGGACAAGGAAGTCGGAGTGTCTCACTGATGACATCATCAAGCAAAGGGCATCGCTGATGCCGTTTACATGATGGTGTCCTCTTGATATGATCTCACAGGAGGTTTTAGAGATCCATCTGGCCAGGAACACGCAACTTTGGTCAGGTAGAAGGCATGAGAAGGACCATGCTTCCAAAAAAAAGTGAGGTGGAATCAGATCCTATAGAGGGAGCGAGAAAAAGTTAAGGCAGCCATTTCGCTTCTCTACCCATCCATCCCAATATTCTAAACCCATCGTCTACCTACTGACCGGTGCCTACCGTCCCTGTCCTACTGTCCCATTTATATGTACTCTTTTTATGTGTTTATGGCTATGTTTTTGCTTATTTTTATCCATTTAATTGTGGCATTTTTTCATGTCATTTTCATACTTATTTCCTTGTACTAGTTGACAAATAAAACAAACAAACCAGGGGTATCAAACTTGATGTCATTGAGAGCTGCATCAAAGTTGTGTTTGACCTCAGGGGGCCAGTGTCTGTCTGTGTGTGTGTGTGTGTGTCCAGGGTGGGATGCTCGGTGTCACTCATTGAGCCTCCGTTTTTGGCCCTGATGACCCTTCTGGGCTCCATTTTCGGCCCCGTTGGCCTCCTGCAGGCCTCTGCCAACAAAAATGGAGCTCGGGGAGGCCTCCCTTTTCGCTGGCAGAGGCACCGTGGGCTGGTCCTTCGCTGCTTCCAGGATGGGCCTGTGGACCAGATCTAAGCACCTTGTGGGCCAGTTCCAGCCTCTGAGCCTTGAGTTTGACACCCCTGTTCTAAACTGTGCCAAAATGGAAGAGATATTTATGACTCTATTTTCCCAGATCTTGGCATCTTGGCATCACAGGGCATGACAAAGTTCCAAATAGCTCAGTCTTGGAACGTGCTGGGATCTCTAGCATGTATGCACTGTTGAAAAAGCGATGTCTACGCTGACTTGGGCATGTCGTGAGAATGGCCGATGGTTAGATTCCGAAAGATCTCCTGTATGGAGAATTAGTGCAGGGAAAGAGCCCCAGAGGGAGACCACAGCTGTGATATAAAGATATCTGCAAGAGGGATCTAAAGGTCTTGGGAATGGACACCAACAGCTGGGAAACCTTGACCTCTGATCATTCAGCTTGGAGGACGCAGCATGGCCTTCTCCAATTCGAAGAGACGCTTGTTCGGCAGGCTGAGGCAAAGAGGCAGTCCCAGAACCAGCAAAATTTGGGGGCCGGGCAGTAGACAGAATGTATCTGTCCTCAGTGTGGAAGGGGTTGCCACTCCAGAATTGGCCTTTTTAGCCACACCAGATGCTGCATTAGGACCTCTTTCCAGAGCACGATACCATCGTCTCTTGAGACGGAAGGATGCCAATGATTTCCCCATTTGACTGCAGGCGACCTCAAGGCAAGACATTCCACTAGGCCCGTTCACAATTGTAACAGCCCCGTTGGCACAATGTGGTTACCAGATTAATGCATTTCTGGCTTGCCACACGGCAGTGAACCTAATACTCTGCTGTGTACAACATGCTATGCTATCAACAACAAAAGCGACAAACAACCCTTTAAGCAAGCCTACTACGTGGTGGGAATTCACAACCGTTTCATTTCTCACCCGAAGCCGGCAGGAAATCATCTTTGCTATTATTTGGCAAACGCGCCTCCGTGTTCCAGGAGCAAGATCCCGGGAAGGGATTATGTTCTAAGAGAAGGGAATTATGTCAGTGCTACAGGCTGCTACAGGTTTATTATCTATGGAAATACGACAGGGCTCTTGAGAGAATGCCGTCTTCCCTTGGGTGGGGAGCCCAACTGAAATCTCCTGCCGTGGCGGAATCAGCAAAGAGCCACCGAGGGGGGAGCAGAGTCCCATCGGGAATTCTGTTCTCTTCAGGACAGAGGTACCCAGTGCAACTGAGGAGAAAGAAATGCAGGAGTCAAAAGCTGGAGAATGGATTTCATGGAGGGATATGTTGCTTAGATTTCTTAGGCACTTCCTATTGCCCAGGGGTGAGCTTCAGTGGTGGGTTCTGGGAAGTACGGCCCGGTACAGACGCACCGGTGAGAGCTGGGAGCAACGCCCGCCTGCCCGCGTTCCTGACCACTTTTTGATGCAAACGGACCAATTGCGCATGTGTGCACAGCGTGCGGTGCCTGCATGACCTCCACCGAGCAGCTGAGTGTCACTGGGTGGTGGCATGCACAGTGCCCAATAAGGACGCCCGGCCCCGTTGCAGCATACCAGTTGCAATGGGATCCAGAACCCACCACTGATGGACTTCTTTGTCCGGTTGCTGGGTGGGAGTAGCCATGGTGGGTGTGGCCTAGTCAGCCTCCTGCACCACGGCAGGGGAACCATTTTTTCCCTCCCCGGGTTCCGGAGGCTTTTTTTGAGCCTCCAGGAGGGTGAAAACAGGCTCCTCCGGGCTCCAGGGGCCCTCTGGAGCTGAACTGAGTGTCCGAAGACTACAAATGGTCCAGAATGCAGCCGCGCGAGCGATAATGGGTGTACCTAGATACACCCATGTTACACCTATCCTCCGCGAACTGCCCTGGCTTCCCATTGGTCTCCGGACCCGCTTCAAGGTGCTAGTCGTTGCTTTTAAAGCCCTACATGGTATTGGACC